AATTTGTGTTCAGATACTAAACACGAATTTCACTTAAGTCCGGTGTTGCTATTCATAAACTTGACATCGCACCTCTCGTCGCGGCGGCATTGTGTAGTGGTTTTGGCATTAGATCTTTTTCGGGTGGTCTTGGGTTCGACCCTTGCCTGGGTTTTTTTTTTTGCCCAAGCGCGTGTCCTCGCTGGGTTGCTTATCCGGGAAGATCTTGCCCTTAGTATATCTGACGACGTTGCGGCAAGGTCCAGGCAACCTTTGGACTCAGAACCTCCCTCCAAGGCTTAACTCGATTGACGGTGTACTCGAATTTCCCTTCGCAGATTTCTCGAGCGCAGCCGCGCACTAAACTGATTTTCAAACTCAGATTCTTTTGGGCCTTAGCCGAACATAGCCGACCGTACAGCCACTAGTCACGTGAAGGTTTTCTTGCAGCCGTCCTGGAGATGAGGGTGGGCAACTGCTGTAAGTGACGGCGCGCGGGAAAAAGGCATCGGTTACCTATTTAGGATGCATGCGCTGTGATACCTTTGAAGCCGCAGAACGCAGCTCGCTCGACAGTCCATAGTAGTGTTTAGCACATGTACTACGGTGTCAAAAATGTATGATAGGGCTAAGTACACCTTAATTCAGATTTTGTTGGGAGGAGGTCTGGTAATACCTCGAAATGGCCAAGTTAGAGAACAAATATACGTGTAATGGGGCGAATTTTGGGAAAATAATCCCAACAAAAGTTGCAATTTGGCTTAGAAACACCCAAAAGAGCTTATATTTCTACACATATCCTGCCCAAAAAGTCGTGGGCAAGCCGCCTTGGGGATGTACGCGCCAGTGGCTGTGCAGACGCGTCCCCGCTGCAATTAAACGCGTCCGACGCGTGCATATCTAGCTGTCGAGTACGCGTTTTTGGCCACACCTGGTGCGCCATTCACTCGATAACTTGTACGTATAATATGTGATATATTAGCCAACTAAGTACCTGATATAAACTGCAGATTAGCTGAGATAAAGTAACCAAACTCTAATTACCCTAATCTCAGTATCCTACTAACACTTGACGCGCTCAAGACTCGGATTTGGTGGTGGGGCAACAAACAGAACATGGCAGGGAGGAAGAAAAGGTCTGAGAAGCAGATGAAGGTGCTCCGAAGAGCAGGAGAGCGACGTTGGACGGACAGGGAGGTGGAGGAACCCAAACAACCGGCCAAAGACTCAGAAGAAAGGGATAATGCACGGCACACGCGCAGAGCTGAGAAGTTTGCCATAGACGAGCTCAAAGGCGTTCGAGAGCAGCTCCAAGTTGTCAACAAAGAGCTTTCAAGCGAAAGAACTATCCGACTCACCCTAGAGAAACGGCATGAAGCCTCTGAAGAAGCTCTAGTGCAAACACAAGATGAACTCGAAAAAGCGTTGGAAAACACTACCATAGTTGAGGGAGAGCTGGGTAGAAAGGGGAAACAGCTTGCTGACACACGGAACGCGCTCAAAACCGTGGAGAAAAAGCTGGCAAAAGCTGTAGGGAGGACGAAGAAAATCAGCCGGAAGTTACAGACATCTCAGCAAGCCATGAAGCGTGCGCGGGCACTGAAGAACAATGCTAAGGCTCACCTAGGGGTCTTACAATGCAGTATCATCCCCAGCTTGCATGCAGCAAGCGCTTTGGCAGTGGAGCGGGAGCAGCTTGCTCGCATATCAGAGACAGCAGCACTGCGACAAGATTTGCAGTTCAATCAGCAACAGCAGCAAGAGCTTAAGCAGAAACTCACCACTGTACAGAACAAGGCTCGACAGCATCAGATGCGGGCCCTTCGAGCAGTTAGGACACTTGCAACCGCACAAAACAAGCACCACAGCAAGCTCTCATTCCGAAAATCCATGGAGCAGCGCCTTCTTGGGCGTGGGCGTCATGGTACTTATTCATCTCGATTTCGTGCTATCATCCGGACTCTAGCACTTGCTGGCTGTGCTCAAGACTCGATTGGCCGTGTTATAAGGCTTCTATACCGTAGTGTTGGTGTAACTCTGTCAAAAGATGTCAGCCAACGCACCGTCTCACGCACTCTTCTCGAGGGTGGGATTGCATCACAGATTCAGGTTGCGGCAGAAATGGAGCAGGCCACCGGTATGCTACAGTGGATTAAATTAATCCTGCACTCGCTAAACTGTTGGTGTTAGCGATAACAATCAGCTCGGATGATACCAGTCACCGCAACATTAATTATAGCTCAAAACACGCAACACTTACAACACGTCGTGATGATGGCAGCATTGACCATCAAGTCCGTTTCCTGGGAGTTGAATCAACTCTAGACCACACAAGCATCAGGCAAGCACATGACTGGGAGTTGAAGATACAGACCTTGTCGGCTCTTTATACAACGTTCAAGGCAGCCGATGCGGCCAACGAAGGGACAGGCACTACTTTTGGTGGGATAGAGTTTACGAAAAAGCTGATGGGAGTACATGGAGACCATGCGGCCGATCAGAAAGCAACCTTCAAGCTACTTCAAAAGTGGAAAGAGCGCAACACATACCTCGGGCTTGGTTATGAAGTTATGCACTCCGGAAACCTCCCATCGGATGAACCTGCTTATGGTGTAGCTTGGCGTGAGGCCAATGATGCACTGACGCACCAAGTAGGAGGTCCCGATGGATGGGCACAGCTGGAGATGTCAGAGCAGGCGTCAAAGAGTGCAGAAATGCTCGAAAAAGTCGCCATGACATGGGGAAAACTTCGTTTTACAGCCCTTTTGCCAGACGAGAGGAGGGCAAGGATGCTGCTTGTGCGAGCAGGATGCTGCATGCACAAGGACTTGAACTGCGTGAAAATTGGGAATACGAAGATGATGGCCTTTTGGGAGGAAAGTGGATTAGCTGGGCCCCTCCTCCTGCCGAACCGGGACAATGCAGCGACAATCCAAGAAGTTGATGAAGATGAAGAGCTCACGGAGGCACAGTCCCGGGCCATTAATGTTACATCACGAGGCGGCATTAAGGTAACAAACCTAGCAGGGGCAATCTTTAACCATAAAGACGATAAGAAAGGACTACAAGATACGCACTGGCACTTCATGGAGCAGGTTGTAGGAGCCGGAGAACCTACAACATTCCCCGACACAAGTAATACACGCTATGGGTCCCACTGCCATGCTGCAGCTTGGTTGGTTCGCTGGCAAGGAGCATATATCAGCCTTCTTGAGACTGTTCGGGACAACAAACAAAAGGCCACCTTCTCACACATAGAGTCTAACCTCTACAAAGCTCTTCACGATGAGCCAACACTCACAGAACTTGTGGTTCTTGCGGTGTATGGGATTGCAATCTCATCTCCTACATGCGGAGGGTACGAGGATCAGGAGATGTTAACATACTTGAACTTGGACCATTTCATCAGCAAGTTAGCCAGCATGTCAAAATGCTTTCAGAGAACCCAAACCTACTTCTAGAACCGGGCCACACTGCCAAGGCGACACTCGATGGCAGCGACAGATGGGAAAACCACCAAACAATGGCTGTTGTCCATGGAATGGCTGAATCCCTTCCGCACTTGTCTGGGGCCCTCATCTCATTCCTGAGAGGTGCTGTGGAAGGGTGGGAGCGGTTTTCAGCAGAGTTTCGAGATGATGGGGAGATAGCGGCACTGTCTGAAACAGAACGTCAGGATGCATGGATGTCGTCGACCAACGATGCAAATGAGGGCGCACTGGGAACATTCCGGCAACTTCAAAATAAAAACCCTGGAACCTCAATGCACCAGGTCAACGCTAGGATGGTGTTCAAGCGAAATAACACCGACGTTTTTATGGAGACGCTTACGGACAAGCAACACGAATTTCTGGTGCAGACAACTCGTCAAGTGGATGCAAGCGGAATCGAGAAAAAGCGGAGAAAGGAACTTACTGAGCATAAAGCAAGAACCGCTGTCAAAAAACGCGAGGCACAAGAGAGATTTTCTCAGAGAAAGGAGAAGAAGAAGCAGCGCCTGGACGAGCTGGAGTTGATTTTGGATGAGAAGGTACTTGATGGACTTAACAGGGAGGAACTCGACGGCCAATGGGATCTCCATCGACGAGACAATAACACACTTCCGGCCAAGAATTCCTTCAAGCTCAAGAAAAATATACTTATCGCATTGAAGGCTCAAACAAAGATCACTTGCGAAGCTCTGGCTAAGCAGGCACATGTCTCAGAACTTCGTACGCCAGCCTCAGGTGGCTCACACTCAGGAGGTGATTGAGTTCAATACCTTTATTGCGCTTACTTTCCCTAGTTTATGTACTATATCTTTAATAATGACTTCTTCTATGCTTTTAGAAATAAATAGAAAGCTATCTTACTGATGTAGCACGGCCAGGGAGTGAAAATGAGTAGTTCAAGGACTTCACTATGACGAGACGCGACTCGCACACACCGGAGTTTGAAATTTTGGGGATGGGAAAGCTTACAT